ATGTATCTTGTTCGTGCAGGAGACATATTCTGGCAGATACCACTAATGCCTTAGGTACTCACCTCACGATTTCTTCGGTTTTGAGAATCTAGAAAGTGTGACTGTGACATTGGATTACTGAATTTAGAAAACCTTTGAACGTTTTTTATCAAAGATTTCGTTTTTTAGTTACCTGGTACATAACTACAAAAGCAAGTCGTATAGAACATTAGTTCGTAAATGTTTACTCAATACTGTCAATTGTAGACGGGCAGATTCAAATTTAACATATCTCCTTTGGTGTATTGTTTATTGTCCTACAACGTGTGCCCCTCAACATGTAATTCATTTGTGAGTTGAATTTTTAGTAACTACATACACTTCAAAGAGGTTCTCGTCGTATACTTTTCATAATTTTCTACTGTGTATGTATACATTTTGAGTTCGAAAGAAACTAAATGCAATGAGTCTAAACCAGGTGGCATTATCATCAATTTATTTTGACCGTTATACCCAATTATTTCTCCATCTTTTATAAAGAATGTGTCAGAATATTGTCCGAATGAAGTGGGAGATTAAAACGTATTAGATTCGAAAAATTCTCGACATGCCTTATCATTTCAAAGTGTTTAATTCAACATGAATGTACGATGAAATGTAAAAGACTTGCAGGTAACTAATCTTAGGTTTCTTCTTCTTTCAGCCTAATGAAACATGCTGTATGTATATCTAATTTTTACTCTTTCTTTGTAGTATTGGTAGTAAGTGTTTTTCAGATATTTGAGTACTCCTTTGCGCCTTTGGTGCTTTTGGAACTAGGTTTTTTTTTCTTTCATCTACCTGGATTTGGTTTTAAGATTGTCAGTACATCGCATCCACTTGTGATCGTACATGAAAGTTGGCTTATCTACGGTTGATGCGTATCAGCTACTTCAATTATTGTATTGAACCTTTCATCTACTGCCTAGAATAACGTTGATCAAATTATTCCACCGAACAATCTCAATAAGATTAGGTTGATGACGAAATCTCTGTCACACGAAGTTTATAGGTCTAAGCACGAGTATAATCAATCGAAGAAAACAACCAATCACAAACCAGTTCGTCAAACCAAGCTACTGAATCACTTTTGGAGAGATAGTGACAGCTCACTTCATACTGAAGTTAGTGCTAATTAGGTCATCTAAAAAGATAATACAAGCTCCAAGATTAAACAACCCAGCTCAGAGAACACAATACAATTAAAAATATAATCCTTGCCTTTTTAAAAATCTAAAGTAAGGCCTTTTAGTATTTTGTTCCAATATATGGTAATAATATGAAGGTTTGAAATTCACTTTCATTCATGTTGCGATGAATCTAATATACAAACTGAATTGGAATGAAAAGAGTTATTTAATAAGTCTAATACTGTGCAAGTGTTTTTAATCATATGTGTGTCTATATGTTTAAGTTTTTATAATTTAGCTGCATAATATTATAAATGTATTGATTTATGTGTTCAGTCTAGTACCAAAGTATTATTATTTCACTCCTTCAGGTATTTAGTTTAGCTCTACATTTTTTCACAGGTGTTATATCAATAGTTGTACTACTTGTTTTAAAGTAATTAATCACTTACCTAGTTCTGTTTACTCAAAACTTTTTGTATAATAATTTCATTAGTACCTGCGAATCACATGGAAGATTTCTATTTATGTCAGCTGAATAATTGATGTTTTTTGCCTCAGTACTCCATTAAAATGAGGAAAGCGTAATCATTAGTTTGTAAACTTAGCAGATTGGTACTTTTTACTTCGATATTATTTTCAGATTTATTTAACGTGAAATATGCTTGTTGCACAAATCGATCATTGGTTACTAACTATAGTGTTTATTAAAGCTTGTGTTAATTAATAAATGTAACATAGGCACTAAGATTGGGGATGTAACATTTCGCTCCTCTGAATCTAGTATGGTGTTGTTTGTCGCAGTCGAAGGTGCTGATATTCCCGTCTTTGGGATTCTAACTTTTGTAGTTCATCTGTACAATGAAACAAGTTTCTGCTTGCGTATTTAAACCGGATTTTAAAAGATAAGAACGATCGTTCAGTGACTAATTTTACTCTTTGTCTTATTGACATGTACCAAGAGGCACTAGATCAGCGTATAACGTTATCTGTTGATTACCTCTTTTCATTCAATCCGAGTTTTACATTTAATCGAATTGGAATGGTTTAATGACAGCTACTGTTTACTTCACCTAAAGGGAAATGTGATGGGACATGCAGTTTGTAAAACGTTAACAATAAGCAGTAGGCAAAAGACTAGGAAGGCACCAGCATTCGGTAATACTTAGCAGTTATTTAGACTGGTTGAAAATACTGGTATGAAAAAGATAATGATTGCTGAGACGATCACCGAAAAAAGTAGGGTTCTGATAAAGCAACAGAGTCTGACGGTTGATCGCTGAAAGTCTTTTTATGAAGGAGGTAGGAAATTACTGAGTAGACTAATGGAGGTACCATGTAATCTATGCAAATTAGAAGTAGTCCCATCAGAATGGCTCAGGTTGTTGGTTATTCCAGTGTTATGGAAGGCAGAGAAGTGTTTCTATGACAACCATAGACAATACAGTTTGTTCACATCGTGTTTGCTGTGAATTATCGCAGCTTGATCCGATGCAATTTTGTGGGTTTTTTTATGTTGGTTTTGTCTATTTTTGTCTAGTTTCATTTTTGTTACCAGCCATTACTGCTTTTCCATTGTGGTATAAAGGTTTTGAAAATAAATTTTGGCGAATTTTTCGGTCCACTATATGGGTATTCAGAGTAATTTGTTCTCTGACCTAGGGTTTTAGTTGGCAAATGTTTCCGAGAAGTGAAGCTCTGATACACTGATGATGTGATATATATATGACGTTTGCCAACTGTGTAACCCTAGCTTGGAGAAAAATTCACTCTGTGCAGTTTTGAATTTTATTTTGTAAATGTTACTTACATCTTTTAAATTGTGTTAGACTTGTTCAGTCTAAATCTCAGACAATCATTGTTAATGGCGTTTGGACCTCAGAAAAGTGATTGTGGTAGATTTTCAGGTATATCAAGAGATGTTTTATTCAGGGTGATGAATTTCACGGATAGATGTAGCTTAAATGTCATTTTAAGGTTACTTGGGCTCTGCAGCATTTCCGTTTTGAGTTAAGTCGTCTACAAGTTTGGATCGTTTTTAACTTCATGGAGTTAACTATGAGAAAAATACTCTTTTTAATTCCTTTGTGTATATTTTCAAATAAAAATGATACTACTTGTAACGTTTTTAGTAACTACTTGTTACTTGTTTAAAGATTATAGCGTTGTATGTCATTAGAGTTAACTTTTGTATGACGAGAATCTGCCGTTATTTACTGATATTTTTTTAAAATTTCTCCTTGACTAAATTAATCGGTTTCTGGAATATAATTTATCTCAATATAATATGCATACAACTAGGTGGTTGGAATCCTGCCTTCAACCAACCAGCATACCTTAGGAGTGTACCACGATGGTGAGTCTTCTAGTATGATGATCACTTTGGAAAATGATCTGTAGAATTTAGTCAACACTCAGGACTAGACCACATGTATTCGGTTACTCTCCAGTGGTCAATCAATTCACATGGACACCTTGTTAACGTATTCAGATGCAGACAGACAAAATCAACGAAGGACTTTGCACATAGGTGAATCAGTTGAAGTTGCTACAGTTTACAGTAGCATGCAAAGAACAAGTGAATAGAAAAGGACTGATATCAATGTAGGTAAAAGTGTATGGGCAGAAAAAGAATTCCAAAAATGAAGGTTAGTGTAAATGTTCATGTTTTAGACGATACCAGAGAGTGAATATATCTGTAATAATGTAACCGATATCCAACCAATGTCACCAAAAGAGTCTCCAACCATCGATACCTACTATCCTAAAGATTCTAACCAGATAGATTCACATAATCCCTCATATAATTTTGAAATACTGGGTTGTTTTTGCAGTGTGAGTAGCTACATCAGTTAATAGATTTAATGAGTAGTGACTAATATAATTTATCCTTTTCTTATGGTGTTCCTTCAAATATTATCTTTTTGTTATTGTTCTGAATGCTACTGAGAAAAGTTAATAATAATGAAAGCAAATGTAGTCTCTCGGGCATCTGAATGTTTAAGTAAAAGTATGTTGCAAATGTTTGGGAATAACGTTTTCTTCATATAGCGTAAGTTGAAAGTATTATTAACGTTATCATGCAATATGATTGTTTACTTGGTGATAGTGATCAACTCCAAATGATGGTTAGTTAATAAAAATCTCGTAACAAATAATACGGATACACGGCATATGAGATAGTGATACTCAAGCTGAAAATATGAAAATATTGGATATAGTTATATAGTCTTTGGGTAGCTCAGAAAACTGGATGCAATTACTGGAGTATTTGAAGAGGACAATACTGGAGCCAGAGTGATATGCTTTGTAGCATACAGTGTACATAAGTTGCTCTGATTACTTTTGTTATCAACAGGTTTGCTGACCTAACTTCCACCCAAAGTTTCCAGTAAATCTGACAGCTGTTATGTCATGGCAGCTAATGAAAGATAATGCTTCTGTAAATTCCACCACCTTATACTATTGAAGGGGTCATACATTAGTATGTCCAATATACCTTCAAGGTTGGTACTCCCTATGAGGTCGCTTTCGATACACTTTAATGAGTCAGCAGTGGTCAGTCGGAGAAGGAATCGTATGTTTGGGTGCTAAAAACATCTGATATCTAGATTTTGCAAGAAAATGTCAAGAAAATCTAGAAATTTCAGGTTAAGTGCCAGAATCATCGTTTGGGAGCATTTATGCAGTGGACGTTTATACGTATTATACCTTTGTTTACCTTTGGCTACTTCATACAGACCATATTATTAGTTTACTTTGTTCTATAAACTGTTACAATACTGTCGTTATCACTATTATTATGATAATCATTAATAATTTTGATTATGTTTCATTCACCATATTATGAAGGCCTTAATGGATCGTGAACGTAGCAATGAACTTCCAAAGTTACAAGTCAGCTTTATTGATTTCGTATGTATGCCAATTTATGAGGTAAGTCTTTTTTGGTCACCTAATAACTGAAGTGCATAATTTCTCATTTTAATCATTCTTCTTTTCTCTGGTCGATTCTCTTGTATACTTATAAAGTACAACCATATTGAGTGGTTTCCTGGCCGATGATGTTCATTACTTTACCAGTATTTGTCTGCCTTTCACAACCATACGTACCACACACTATGTGCCGTCTATGTTTCTAAGCTTGGATTTTTTATAGCTATGTCAATTGATCAACAACTCACTATCTCCTAGTTCATTCTGTGTTTTGTTTATCACTCATACTTCAAAGTTTACACCATATTTAGCGCTTTTTTATTTTCGGTATTTATTATTTTACGCCTCTTTGGATTGAAATCAAGGGTTAGCTGATAAACTGCTTTCACTATAGTTACTCAAACTGCGTTCTCCGCATATACACGACCAAGTAGAATAAAATATAGGTTTGTTTAAAATTAAAACATGTTTAAGTTTTCAAAACTCATCGTTTTATAGCTTCATTACCGCACTATGTTCCCCATAAGTAACTTATTTCTTAATTTGTTTTCGTTTAATCTATTTGTTTAAGGTGTGTACTTTATCCTGGCATATTTGAGCTTTCTGTGTTCATTGAGGTTGTAGAGTTGAATTGTATTCGGTTCAGTTTGCTAATCCTTTTTGGCACTGTGCGTCAAAAAACACGAGTACTAATTTCAAACATTCCCACTGTTCATATCTAAACTTCAAAATGCAAACAGGTGAATTGTGGTTTCATGTTATTTTGTTTAGTTATCAGTTTGGGAGTCAGTCAAAAATCTTAGTGATTGAAGTAAAATTAATATCTAGTAAGCAAGGGGGTCTCTTAGCTCTGTTGGAGCAATTTCAGGCCGGCAACCTGGTGATCGTTGGTTCGAATCCTGTCACGGGCCAGATTTTCATTACGCCTTCAATCATCACCCAGTATTAATATTGTTCAGTGTGCACGTTACAATATTCAATACGTCGAATCTTATTAGCGTTATACGGTACATATGTATTTTGCTTGTTATCAAACGGTTACACTTCGCTGCACTGAACATCTGAAAATTTCTTTTCCCTATAAGATTGTTTATCTATAGCGAATAATGAAATGAAATCAGTCAACCATACTGCAATTTTTCTGAATAGAAATCTATGGTGTCAATTCCTAATATTAATTTCGGTGACATATATTATATTAGTATAATTGCTTGTATTATACCGTCGTTGATTGGACCGAATTGATCGGTCTCTTGTCGCATATGGGCTTCTGTGGAGATACCTCGATATTACCTGTGTTCTTATTATAGTAAAGATGGATCACAAGAAAGACATTGAATTGACTGATTACATATATGCAAATACTTTCCTTGAACTTGTATCAGAGCATTAACATGACAGTAATTAGCAAAATGATTCATTTCAAAAACTTTGTGACTTAAAGTTTATAATCTTTTTATGTTCTTGTTTTAGGCTATTGTACAAGTTTCACCGAATTTCGAACCTTTACTAAATGGTTGTAAGCGCAATCGTTCTTGTTGGCTAATTCTCTCGGAAAATGGTGAAGTTCCCTACTCCTTATATGGATTAGATGATAAAGAGCCGATAGAGCCAACAATTATTGATAACTTGAGTGTTTCACCTAATGTTGGATCATTGGGTACATTAAATCCTAATTCAGCTGAACGTATTGCAAAGAGCAAACCATTTACATCACCTAATGTTCGCAGGGCTTCTGTAACATCGATGACCACAGTTGGCGGACAAGAGCCTACCTTACGAAGTCAACCGTCTGTTGAAACAAAATAATATTTTCTCTCTTCTGCCTATATTTCATTTGCATTTTATTTATTTCAATCTTTTCCATTACTTATAACCTAGACTGTCAGGTATGTTCATGCACTAAATTACATTTATGACGGTTTTATTCATCATGAGAAGAACATTGATCACTCGAGTTTTCAACTGTATTATTAGTAATCTCCTTCTTTCCTCTTTGGTGAGTAGTCAAATTTTTATTGAGTCTACTAAATAGAAAGAAAATACTAGAGACTAAATAAGCGCAGTAAGTGAGAAGAAACTTCATCATACAGCTCATGTACAGTGAAAATTAATCTAATTTCATCACTCAGACATTTTTGTCTTTTCATTTATATTGGCATTCTGTGAAATAATCGTGATAATTTGTTGACTGTGTATTGTTTGTGTTAATAATTTCACTAAACCCCTTCTTACCTTCCATACTATCTTTCCATGACTTCATCCGTGTGTGTGTGTGCATGTGTGTGACCAGGGATAAGGTTATGTGAATGCAACACGAAACTCCTTGAAACATAATGCGATTCACTATGATTTCTCTGTCAATTTTCCTTCATGTTTCTTTCAAGTCCATTTGTTTAAACAATAGGTGATAAAGCACTAACCCTTGAGCATTTGATCTGGCGTTTTTGAATTTTCCCTCATGTAATCAATACTTTGCCCTCTTACATACTTTCTTATATGGATTTATATCAATATTAACCCTATATGAAAGTCATTCTGATTAGTTCTTTTAGTTAGTCAGATTTTTTAAATGTTATAAGATCATTTGATGTCATCCTTATATTTGTTGTTCGTTTTGTTGCTCCAGAAACAATATCTTTCACTTTTCTCACCACACACTGAAAAATGTATGTCATCACAACTGTTCAGTACGAATTTTTCCTTGTGTAGAAGACTATGCATTCTGCTTTCCGTTGTCGGCTGTGATTCTTTTCATGGTATATATATATATATATATATATATATATATATATATATATATATATATAATCATGATTTTCGGCTATACGCACACACACACACATACTTCTAGCGTATATCTTTTTAATATACAGTTTCAAGCATTTATGTTCTTCTGTTTCCTATCAAATTATCGGTTTACATCTATTTGTAATTTCCTATAGTGTAACAGTCAAGATTATCAACGAAGAATGTCAAAATTAGGTTTTCGAGCCTAGGTTTTTGATCAGTTTGCAGCATCTTATGTCGCTACCGAAATGCTTGAATTAAGATAGTGTGTCCACAGAAATTGATCATGTTTACCACCTTTCAATGTCCGATAAATAATTTTATCCTTCAGCTTAGGTATGACAATAAGAATCAATCGCTTTTCCATTAATTCAGGCGTCTAACTGAATTTATATTCGTGACTACTCACTAGTTTTTTTTAAAATTTGGGTACAAGATGTGGAAAGGACTATTCACTTACACTGAATTTACATAATCATAATATCAGCCAAAAGGCTACCAATTAATATACCTTAGGTACGCTACACCCATGAGTTTGCATCGCTTCATTCAGTTTAGTTCTTAGGTCAGTGGTTTTATTTCTCTGAGCCATTTAGTTTTTTTCTACTTCTAAGAATTTCTATGAACTAAGCCGACTTGAACTAGTGGCATGCAGCGGGACAGAGCAGAGCTCGTATAACGCATGTTATTGCTATTTTGGCTGACAGTTGTTTATATTTTAAGGACGTCAATTATATGTTAAGTACTTCAAGTCTTTATGGTTTTACCAAACCTTTAAGGAAGAAATTGGTGGGTTTTTTCCCTGTAATTGTTTGCACCTGTGGATAGTATTTTACTAATAAGGTGAAATATTCAGAATGAGTTGTCATCTGAGCCACTATTTTAGTTGGCAAACGTTTCAACGTCATGCCAGATATCATCATCAGGGCTTGAAAAAGGGAAGGAAGTAGTTCGTTCCGCATGAATATTTATAGTATGCTACTTTGTGTGAGTGTAATTTGATTGTTTGCTTGGTGACTGCCTTAGTGTACGCTGAACTTGAGTGTTTGACTTACTACCTGTAGAATTGTGCAATAACGGAATTGTTTGGTTTCTTTTATTTGCTTGTAGTACGTTGAGTTCGCCTGGTTATAATTTGTCCACGCTCTTTGTTCGAATGAATTGATGTAAATGGCCTTGTTCTGCTTGGTTGGCATTTTTGCTTGATTGCAGTGTTGAAGGTTGTTTTCATCTGAGAAGTTGACTCGTATATACTAAAGGAGAGATGCTCTACGCTAATCGGTTAATTGTTCCAACTGAAGAAATTTTCATAGCTGCTAGTGATTAGTTAAAGTTTGCTAGAGAAGGGGATTTTTCTTGTATTGTTCCTTTGAGTGCGGGAGTTTAGTTAGTTATGCATAAGTTATCTTGTTCTGATCGGCTGAGAATCTCTTTTTGGGATAGGTGGTTTCGTTGATTTCTGTGGTTGATTTGTTACGAACAGGCTTGTATATTAAGTCTGGGTCTTGTCGGTGATTCGTTACTAGTTTACTTGATTGCCATACCTCTAATGATTATTGGGCTACTTTCAGGTTTTCATGTTCGAGTATTTCAAAGTTGTCGCAATCGAATGTTTTTTTGTAGCCTTCAAAATGTATCTAGATGAAAGACATTTGACAGTCAACTTGTGTTCATGAAGCGTTATTAACCTGGTCTACCTGACTAACCCATGTGGCGTTGTTATCGATTATTTCAATTGACTTGGCAGACAATATTGATCTTTACTCTTTGCTGAGTCTCTTGGTTTGCGTAGGATATTTTGCAGGGACTTTGTTGGTTTATGTGACGCTGAGATTCCGAGTAGGTGCAGCAATCTATCTGTATTTTCGAAAGACTGACCATTTACAAGATGACGATTTTTCTGTCAATTTCTGTGGGCAATTTTGTTTTCGTTTGGAAAGACATATCTTGATGAAGTTCTTTGAGTAGACATTGGGTTGGAAAAATTTGAACAAACATTGGTTTTACTTCATTACTTAAACTGGGCTATAGATCGTGTGAGGTAAAAGTACGTTTTTCGCCAACATATCCGCAAATGGCAAATTAACTGCCGTACTCTGCAAACGGTATTTCACTGCGCCCACTGGACGGTTTCTATCTTCAGTGAAAATGCCGCAAACAATACTCAAACTTCGCTTTGTACTGGCATATGCACAGTTATCATCTGGGATAACCAGAATCTTACTCACTCGGAATTCTTTATGTACACATTCCTGCTAGTTGTGGTTGCTGCACTATCACCTGACTTCTTAATAATTTGGTTTTTATCGGTCCGTCGGTCCGTCGGTCCGTCAATCTAGAAAACACTGACAGCATGTTCATTATATGCGGAGACTCATTGTCTGTGGCCATGCCTCGTAGCTTGGTTGGTTGAGCGTTGGGCTGGTAATCTGGAGATGACTTGTTCAACTCTTGGTTCGACCTAGGTTTTTATTTCACTTTAATCTTGACTTCATCGATATATTTATTTTGAAATAAATTTAGCAAAGGTTTTTCAGTTTGTAATATGAATGAGAAGAAAGCTTACATTTGACTTTCAGTGTGAAGCTTCCATTATCTTTCTAGCTGGCACGGCCAACAGAATTTCAAATTGATGCAATAACAGAGTTGTAAAAAACGAAGAAGGAGACATTCATGGTGGGCCATCTATTTGTCTAATTTATATCTTGTGGTCCGGACGCGAAAAAAATTGTCGAAAAAGTAGTCACCTACTTAAGTAGTACGTTTTTTTCAACGAAAGTATCTGTTTTAGTTTTAGTTATCAAACTCGTAAAGATAGTTTGAACCCGATTACTATTTCCTCTCTGACTTAAACTAGGCACATTGAAGCCTTTTTCAAGCTACTCTTGAAATTGACAAAAGAGTGAGACCTTTTAGCTACCGCCAAATAATTCCTATTCGGAAACACAGTAAGTAGTTTCTGTAATCATGTGAGTTGAATCCAAAGAGGAAGGATTTGTAAAATATAGTGGGTTAATTCTTCATTTATTCGATTTCTCCTCAATGAGAAAAACCGAGAATAAATGAGGGGGTTGTATGGATTGAAATCAGTACGTTAAATTTGTCTACCAACAAAATACGCATACTAAAAACTGGGAACGACAGGCATTTTCGAGACATTTGCAGTGGGGCCCACATGCAAATACTGACCGATCATTTCTGCCCGATCAACGATGGGACAATGCAATCAACAACGTAAAGACTATATCCGCTGTACAAAAAAGTGGCTATCACTAGGCAGTGATCTAGTGGATAGCGCTATGGCTTTTAAAGCGAGTGGTTCCGGGTTAGAGTCTTCGTGGGAACAACATCAACAGCTGGGAGGCAGATACATCCTGCTGATGAGTCCCAAATAGGGAAAAATACGCATCTCGTACTCTAATGCTGGCCACTCCTCAACGTTATTATAATTAAGTACAGCACAAGTCCTTGATCACACATTATTCCATTTTTATTATCTTCATGTTCGAAGACTAGGGAGTAAAATCATACGTATTTATTTTATTATTATTATTTATCCTTTGGGTTCCCAGTGAAACGTAGAGCTTTAGCAGCACGTCTACATTTAACTCTGTTCTCTGCAGTATTTTGAACCTGACTCCACGACTGCCAACAACCTTTCACTTCTTCCTCACACCATCTCCTCCATGTCACCCTCGACACGGATACCCAACTCGTCGTTTCCCATTTGTATTCCACTCGAGGTCCTGGCCTGGTACAATCGGTCTTCTCAGTGTATGCCCAATCCCATCCGTCTCTACTTTCTTCTGCAGATTTGTTGGGCGGTGGGTTCTCGCTTGGTTCGTTCCCATTTTTCCTGATTACTGACGTGAAGATGTCCTTTAAAGTTTCGTCCTTCAGTTTCTGTCTCAGGTGTTGAACTTGAACTGGGGTCTATGACCTGCTTCTGTGAAGGTTTTCAACTTGATTTTGCAGGTAGGTTCCTTGCAACCGATAGATAGTGAGTGGTTTGAACCACCTACATCTGCTCCCCTTCTTCATCTGATTTTGTTTCCAGTAGGCTGGCTGTGTCCCCACTTTCTTCACATTCAGAGGAAGACGATCTGATTTTCAGTGTAGTGTGTCCTGGTGTCTGGTGATATCAAATCCATGCCGCTGCCTTGTGAATATCCTTGTGTTTGTACACACTGTCTTGCCTCCAATCACCAAGTCGTTGAATGCACAGAAGTCTGCAAACAGTTCTCCATTCTCATTCTTCATTTCACCGAGTGATTCTCTACCCATGGTTGGTTCTCTTCCTGTGTTGTCCGGGCCCAGTTTGGCATTCATATCACCCGCACACACCTCTTCATCATACTAAATCACGATACAGAATTCATCTTATTTCCAGCACTCGATGCATAAAAATTAATTCATAGCTAAATACCTTCTAGGTAACATGGTTGAAACGTATCAAATGAGAAGACCAGCAGAACAGGTCAGCATATTTATACCATCATTAAGAAATAAATCAGTGTTTCCAGTGACATTAAAGAACTGGAATGCATAACTAAGAGGATGCAGAACAACGTTTAATGCAAGTGTCTGGTGAAGTCAAATAAGCTACTTGCGAAAAATTCAGAAATACTCAACGTGTGTCCAGTATACTAATGGAAGAAAATACCCGAAAAATGGAATGAAGCTACTATCGAAACAACCTAAACCATCGACTGAAGAAACTGACAACTTTCAAAGAAGAGAATTAGTTTTGACCTAAGTCTCAGTTTTCAAAGAATAGCTGAACTCAAACTTGAAGACTTTATACCCAGTACAGAAGTAGAGTTAAGTTTAATGTGAAAGAAAACAAAAAAGACTCAAAAATTTAACGAAATCAGAAATATCCAAACTCAGAAGTATAATAGCTATCAAGGCTGTTAACGGAAACTTGATAGAAATTATGTATAAACGGGATTCCCTTCTACTTATTT